TACAAGGAAGTGGCTCTGGAGCCATATGGAGTGCTCCAGGGAGCTTCATCTGAGAATACCTGTACATTTACTGGCCTTAAATGACTCAGAAGGATCCCTCACAATGAAGGATCCTACACCCTGCTTCTGAGTTTGGGGGGATGAGAATAGTGCCCACTTTATACACTAGCCACCTCTTGAGGTTCTACAGCTAACTATGACCTGGGCTTCTGCAAATACAGAAGTCACTGTCTGACCTAAACTGCCAGTCCTGTTAAGGAACAAAGCTGCACTGGCTGCTTCTAATCCAGGGAAGATGACTCCAGTCAGGAACCTATACCTGGATCTCTAGGGCAGGGCTCGAGAATTTGCTCAGGGCAAATGGAGCATTCTCTAGCCCTCTAGGGTGGAGCACTGGAGGACTCCCCGTTTCCTTCTAACTCCCATTTCAAAACAGGAGAGCAATGCCAGCATGCACTTCTGTTTTCATTATGCTGTTTTTCCATTAGCCTTCAATTTTCAAGTTCTGACTACCCTGCCTGCCTTTCAATGCCTCTGCCTTATCTTCCACTACTGCCCAACATGCACACCTTGTCAGGCCAATGAAAATTCTGATTCTAAAGCCTATACTCCTTTCACCAAAATTTTTGGTCTTCTGAAGTGTTCTTTAGTTTCCTAGAGCACACTGGCTTTGAGGGGATCTTTTTCGACTTTGAGTCCCTGAGGACTGAGGAAATGCAAACCACTTCTGCTATTAGATCAAGCCAAATATTCACAACAAGGTAAATCTGTTACACAAGGAGTTGCTGATATGTCGGACTTTGCTCCAACTCAAGGTCCTTAAGGGGCATCTAGCTCAGACCTTGGGCCAGAGTACACTCTCAGAAATTTGTCAAATTGTCTAAACCAAATGGAATATTTAGATTAGTCCCAATATTTCCCCTCCATTAATCTAAGGCATCATTCATCGAAGCTTCAAGAGGTCCTCTCGATACAGAAAAGATACTGCATATTGAAATCAGCGTCCTCAGTTCAGAAGACCATCTCCAGCCACTGCTGGGCTAGGATAGTGCCCTGTAAACAGATACAACCAGTGACAACCACTACTGAATACGGATGAGCATCTCAACACAGATGCCCAGAAGACCAACCCCTTAGCAGAAGTTCTGACAACCCCGAAGAGAAGTTAAAAATTAGGCACCTAATAGAAACCATCAAGTGATCCATTACTTTTTACAAATGTGAAGAAAAACATGAAGGACCAAAACCACTCTTTCTGAAAAGTTCCTATGACAAGTAAACCCAGACGATACTATTACGTACCCAATAGACAAGTGAAGCTAGACGTTCGCTGTCTGCAGCGGCTGTCGCGGGGAGTAAGGACTGGAAATCTACATTCTGATCCGAGCGAGCCATGGTACGACAGCCTCTATTAAACGGAACATGCCTTCATAACTCTTTTATACACATGCAGTATTTTTTATTTTTCTTAAGAGTTCATTTTTCAAAAATGGCAACGTTGGGTGGGAGAGCCAAGGTCTGAGGCTTAAATGTTAAGTTTTGCCTTTCTTTACAGTCCACTTCCTGGGGCCAAGTCTTTTTTTTTTTTTTTTTAAAGAATTCAGAAACATATGCTACTGTAGTTGCATGTCCAAACAACCATGTGGAAATAGTCCCCTGGACTTATACATTCATTCTTAAAAGACTGGAGTATGCAAACAAAGATGCAGTGGGCAGAGGGCCAGTTAATAAATCTCATTTCCTACTAGCATCTGCATGAAACAGAGCTACAGGGAGTAGCTTCTCCAGGGAGAGCCAGAGCACGACTCATTCGCTCTGTGAATTAAACAGTGTCACCTCAGATGGCCCACACCACATTTATTTTTTAAGCAGCTCTTAAAATATATGGATTTCTAGTGCTCATAAATGGACTGAGGAAGCTGGGTCTAAGACAATCACACAGTAGTGAACATGAACGGTGGAAACATCCACACAGCCCTGCTGAGCCATTTTTGCACTGGCTCCTTTCAACTGAAATTACTAATGAGAATAATTTCCAAAAGGTAACTTGCTCTTCCCATCAAAGTGCACAAGGGTTTCAATAATGGTGTACCACCCTCTCCAGTCCAGGCTATAAAAATGGGCTTGGTTTACACAAAGAGATACCTGGATGAAGATAATCTGGGTCATGAACCATATTTGACCCTTATCTATAAACAATCTAGTGCAAATGTCATGACAATAATGTCTCTTACTGGGAAGAGTGACCATTTGCCCACTCGTCGGTGCTGGCAAGAACAGTGCTGTTCCCTAGTGTCCTCTCCTCTCCTCACCTCTGCTGGCTATTGTCCTGGAGCTCCCGGAAGATCCCTTTTCAGTACTCATGTCATTCTTCTTGTATTTACATAGATCTTTTAAGAAAGTCTTTGTTTTAAATGGCTGAAGCTAACGAGCAAATACAGAAAATAAAGCCAAAGGTAAGGGAACCGCTTAGTCAGCAAACAGTCAGGAAAAGAATTCCCTCTCACCAATCCCAGGGCTCTGGCCTTACCCAGGCATTCCATGGGACTCAAAGAGAACTCTTAGGCACATATAATTTTTGAGGGCTATAATGAACCCACCACCAAAGTAGACTTTATTTGGTTAAATCTCTCTACTTGGGCTTCCACAGTACCTTCCAAGTCTCCTCGGCAATTACATGGCAATATTATTCCAGTCTCAGAATGCCAAAGTAATTATGGAACACTTCCTGGATAGAAAAATGTCTCACATTTTTCCTTCCCCTATGCCCCTCCAAAAAAATACATGGTAGTTATACTACACTGGCCATCCACTTTGAAAGGAAAGCAGATCAAAGACAACATAAGGTGTGTCTGTCTTAGCGGACACCCTTTGTATAATTTAATACCAATGCCACTTTGGAGGATTCCTTCCTCATTTAACCTATGACATCTCTCACTATGGTGTCCAGTAATCCTATTATATAAAATACAAATGCAATAATGCTATTACTGACTTCAGAATTTGTCCAGTCAGATCTTCTTTAAATTCAGTTTTCTTTTTCATAGAATTTCACGTACCTTTACAGGGACTCAAAACAAACTGGAAATAACTTAGGACATGGGAATAACTTAGATTGAATTTAAAAGGTAAATAAGATTTCATTTTATAGCAACAGCTTGTCACCAAAAGGTAATATTTAGCCTTTCCGCCAAGTAATTTTCCATTGCCATTTCAAGTTTGTTTATATGACTAATAAAACCCAACTAGGCAACTTCCTTTGGCGTATGTGGTAAAATTCGAACTCTGTCTTACAAGCAACTGCTGCTTATATGGAAGAGATTAAATCATTTAAGAAACAAGAGCTTCAAATGTACTACCTGTGAGAACAGTTTAAAGAAGTGAGGTTTAAAAGCAACTCAGGGTTTGGGTTTTTGTTTTTCAACTCTATTTTAGGCTTTGGAATGTTCACAGGGAAAGGTGGATGAGTAAGGGAGAGAAGGGACCCAATGTTCCAATCACAAGGATCTCCAAAAGGAGACAGTCCCAGAAGTTGTGGACCAATTTTGGTTTATATAAAGAGAGTAACAAGTGCTTGGAATCTGTAAGGATGCCATGTCAACCTCTTAGCCGGAACCATAAGGCATGAGATTTTGGTGACCTCATGGGCATGGCCAAAATTAACTCCAAGTATTTATATAACTGCCAGAGATGACAGGGCAAAGGTTGCTTATAAAAAAAAATTTTTTTAAGTCAGCAAATAGGGTTTCCTTGGTCAAAGAGAGAGGAAGAGGGGTGCTCTTGGTCCTATTTTGTAACTATGTCATATTTATACACACCACTGAATACTCTACCCACAATACCATCTGAACAAACGTTTAGATGAAGGCATTAAAAAAAAAAGTTATTTCCTGTTGCTTACTAGCTGAGAGGATGCGCTTTAGAGGTATGTGGGCTCTGCCTCAAAGCAAAAGCATTGTTAGTGGTTATCAAGGTAACATTTAAAAATAACTACCCTAGTACAAAAGAACTTCAGAGGAAATAGAAGGGAAGCTATCAGTCTCCCCTCAGGTCTGGCCTTGAGCTGCATTAGACCCTAGCTGCATTCTCCATTACATTGTTATCCTATCAAACAATGCAAACAATTTTAATGAGCTTATCTACTGGAACATACTGCCAGATATGCTAATGTAAAAATGATGCCAACCCTACAGTCCGACTCATTAATCAAACAGTGCACAATACAATGACCAAGATCAGTCCCATCCTCAAATCAGACCTCAGCAAAACAGCAGGCATTACCTTCCTACTGTTTAAACAAGGGCGGGCTCCCCCGCCCATGCGGAGGCTATAAACTCCTAAGAAAATGCATAACGGCCCCAGGTTTTCCTCAGGTCCTTTGCAGTCCAGTCTCTTTCTAATAAACCACGGGTTCTATGGAGAAAATTTTGGTGAATGTCTGACACGGTGACCTCTGCTGTCAATCCTGGCGCCAATCAGCGAGCAGAATTCTTACAAAGCTCCATCAATCTGGTGGTTTAACATCACAGACTGCAGCTTAATCTAGAGGATTCCATCTTTCCTGCACACACACCAGGGCAAGCGCAAACATTTTTCTCGCCATCCTCCCGTTCGTTCTCTGCCTTTAGGCACAGCCTACCTAATGGTTCCTTTCAAATCTCAAGGAAAGGAGGAAAGGAAGTGCTACAGCCTGTCTCCCTTTGGAGAAGGGAACAAATTGCTTGCATTCTGACCAGTATGGAAGGAAGGCGATGGAAAGAGACCCCTCGCAGGCAGCAAACCTATTCACAAAATGCTCTCCATCTGCAATCATGAAGCCTCAATGCACGGCTAACATGACACATGGAAACAGACAGCAAACGACCGCAGGCGCCCTCGTGAACGCACGTCTGCAGCCCGGTCCGGGCGCAGTGTCCGCTCCATTATATAACGGGCCGGATTTCCGCGAGCCCCCGCCGAGCTCCCCCGCCCGGCGCCACTCCCGGTGCCAGCCCCATTACCTGTAGGAACGCTCCCCGCGCACTGTGTGCTTCCGGAAAGGAATGATGGTCCCGTTATCCTGGATGATGTCGTTGTTGTTCTCGCCATTTGGGGACAGGGTTTGGGTCGGACCAGGCATTGGCGCACTCCCGAGGTAGGGAACAAACCGCGGCGGGCTGGCTGGTGAGGAAGGTGGCTGCGTCTCGTCTTCCCGCTCGCCTGCTCCTCGCGCAGACCTCGCCTGCCGTCTGCTCGCTGGCTCCCTTCTCCCAGCTCGGCTCCCGCCCCGCCCTCCTGCGTCCCGCCCTCCCCGCTGCTGACGTCAAAGCGCCGGCAGCAGCACCGGGTCACGTGGCCAGGCCGGTCACCATAGCAACCCGCTAACTCATCACCTCGCCTCAATTCGCACTGGGCCGAGGCGTGACCATGCCAGCAGCTCCAGGCAGGCACCGGGGCAGGCCTACATCTGGCATGTAAAACCCCAGGCCACCCCTAGCCCCCCTCGCAGACTCGCCTCGTCTGAAAACCAGCTCTTCCTCTAACCATTTCCTTTCCGACCCGTGCTCCAACTGCAGCTGTGTACACAAAAGAACGATTCAGGCAGAGGGGTGTGGGAGACCCTTTAACTCCTTCAATACCAAGTTCTTACAGCATTCAAATTAAGCTCGGCTTGGTTTAAAAACATATATATGTAGAAAGATCTGGTGGCCTGCTCCTAGAAAATGTTCACCTTTCCAGCTTCCTCCCCCATTCTTTCAACAGCAGCAACCTCCTTCCCAAAAGAAGCCCCAAAGCTGAAAACCTAAGAGAAAGCTGTTTTTCCTTCTCATCACTGTAACCTTTCCTTTAGTAATGTGAAGATTAAAGGCTGCAAATTAAGAGATTTTCTGCACAAAAGAATTCTCAAAAGAGTTTAAAAGAACAGCCACCATTTTAGAACATGATGGTTACCCAAGACCTCCCAATACAAATTCTTAAACTGCCTCTTAATACCAATAATTAGCTTGTCATTTATTTTATTTTCATTTGAATTAAACAAGTCAACACTTAATTTAGTATGTGGAAGCTCTCAACGTTCTAGTTGTTCCATATCATTGCAATGCAGTTTTCAAATTCACTGCCTATGAGACAAGTACTATTATCATCACCCCTATTTTAAAATGAGTAAACTAGTGAGATTAAGTAACTTGCTCCAGGTCACAGAGCTAGGAAGTGGTGAACTGGAACATCAAAATGACATGCTTTTATCAATGCAATTGGACAGTACTGATCTATATTTAATGTGAGCTCATAAATATAGATCAAGGTAACAATCAAGTACTTTATGTACATTTGCAACATGACCACTGTGAACAGAGCTGTGAGCAGAATTGCTAGTACTAGGCAGTCAATGGATTAGATTATAAACTCTCAATAGACCCCAGATGCATCCATTGCTTTCCTTCAGAGAAGGGAAGAAGAGTTTAAAGAATTCTCTGCTTATCAGAAGTGGTCTCTGACCTTTTGTGGGGTAAGAAGGGAAGAACCAGGGTATAAAAAACAGCATAAATGTATGTAGCAGAAAGTACTAGGCTATCTGGCTCATCCTTTCACATCACCGTATGGTTCATCAGGTTTATCATTTTGTGGTATAGACATTAAAACACACACACACACACACACACACACACACACACACACACACACAACTTTGTCTTTCCTGACAATTCTCCAGTGTATCTCCCTGGTAATAAGTTATTTCTGGCACCAAGCTTCTAGATTTAGAATCAAATAGTTCACAACCCAGATGGTAATGATAATCTCAAACAAGAATTTTTTTGTTTTCTTTTTTTTTTTCTATTTTATATTCTTCTTTGGGGCTATGTTTTAGAGATTTTTGGTTTCTGCTTTTCCAGGGAACTAGTAGTGTACAAGTGGATTTTTTTTTTATCCATTTCTCTGCTTACATGAGATTTTTCCCCCTCATACAGTACTGACTTAAGACTTGCAAGGTACACAGATAAACATACCTAAGTACAAGAGATATACAGCAAGCTTCACATTGTACCCTGAGCAAAAGAGGCTTGAGAGTGTAGTCATTGCTACAAAGATCCACAGTTCCTCTTACTATTTCTGTTACTGGTCCCACCGTTGTCAATTTCCTCACGAATTTGTTCCCTTTCACCAAAGCTTCCTCTTTCTTTGGGGATAGTCTGAAGGCTAAAAGCACAGTCTACAAATCAAGTATTTAATGTTTTTAGAGTACATCCTTTCATTTTGGGTTCTTTAGTAGAGCCTACTTCTCCATGATCCCATACTGAAGTAATAGTCGGTGTTATCATGGGGACTAAATTTTTCAGAATTTGAATGTATAGCCAGCTCATTGACTATCCCAATTTATTTTGTGGAAATTATAGTCCCACTGTTTCTATGCTGCTTATGAAGGAGAGGACTATGGCCAAGAATTTGGGTTGATGGGCTAAAAGGGAGGGGTAGTGAGTCAGGTAAAGGAGGTATCTAAGAGTCCTTGTAAATCTTCTTCTAAGACTGCTGTGAGCCATGATACTATAAAGGGATCCAGAGAGCTCCAGAGACCTGTGATTACCTTCTGAGACACTGGGGTAACCGGGGTAATAATTTGAAAATACTAAACAGATGTGTTTTCATTCCTTTCCCCATAAATCAAGTAGCCTGGCAGCCATTCTCCCGTTTAGCCCTAGGGAAAAGGAGAGGGCAAATTCCACTTTGGGAAGGAGGATGTAGGATACAGGGAAACTGTAAAAAAAGGCAGGAAGGGCGAAGGAAGAGTCTACCCCTTCCAAACCCGATTGAGTATAAGGAGGAGGAGATGAAAGGAGGAAACAGCACATCCCCAAAGAGAGATGTTACAGAGGTTTCGTTTTGTTCTCAGCCTTAGAGACTTACTTTGACCTCCTTTCCCATTTGAGACTCTGACAAATAACCACCTCAACAAGTATCTCCCCAACACTTCCCTCCCCAAGCAAGGTACAGTCCCAGCACAATAAAGACTAAGGTCAGTGGCATGGTATGGGTAGGTGGAAGGGCCAGGGAGAAGGACATCTAAAAAACTGAACCATCACCCGAGAGATGGAGCTATTCAAAGACAGTCTAAACTCTAAGAGGTTAGAATTTTGTGAATTGGCAAGTTTAAAACCATTTGTTTTCCTACCTCTCACCAGGGTAAGAACTACCACATAGATCAATTATAGAAAAAATAATCATGCAAAAGCATCTATGAACATCTCATTATGGACTAAGGTTTTGTCTTATGTACATAGGTGTTTCTAAAATAAAATATATGCAGACCATTGTATTACATCTCCAACTGCCCCATGGAGAAATGGCTCCTCTCACCAAACATCAGGATTAAAATTGGGCCTCTGGAGCCAGGCAGATATGGTTCCCCTGCCTGGTTTCTCTACCTGCTAGCTGGCTATGTGACCAGAACAATTTACTTTGAATCTTTAAGATTTAGTTTCCTCACCTTCCTCACCTAGAAAGTAGGTGTAATAATACTGTTTTCATATGGTTGCTGTGCAGATTAAGTTACAGAATATATTTAAGGCAGTTAACACTGTGTCTGGCATATGACAAGTACTCTTTAGCAGTAAATGTTATTTTAAAATAACATGTAAGGGGGCGCCTGGGTGGCTGAGTCAGTTAAGTGTCCGACTTTGGCTCAGGTCATGATCTTATGGTTCATAAGTCTGAGCCTGGCATGAGGCTCTGTGCTGACAACTCAGAGCCTAGAACCTGCTTCATATTCTGTGTCTCCCTGTCTCTCTCTCTCTCTCTCTCTCTCTCTCTGCCCTTCCTCTGCTCATGGTCTATCGCTCTCTCAAAAATAAACATTAAAGAAATAAAATAATATGTAAGGCATATTCTTGTATATTAGAAACTGGCACAATAGGGAAAGTCTTGGACTTTTCCTCGAGGAACTCACAGGGTTGTAGTGTCCAAGATAAAAATACCAACAATTATAATACAACATAATGCTGTAAAAATGGTACCAAATAGGGTGACATAAACCCATAGAAGATGAGCACCTAATTTAGAATGGAAATTAGGAAGTCGGTCTGAAAAGTTTCCCCAAGGAACTATCGCCTAAACGTAGGATGACTAAAATAATATGTAAGTCATTATTATACCTTTTTTTGTTCACTTCCTATGTGCAAGATAGAATATAAGATCCTTTAGGGTAGGAGCTCCAACTCTTTTGTTCCCTGCTATCTCTGCAGCTCCTAGAATGGTGCCTGGCAGGTAGTAGGCACTAAATGAATACCCAATTCCTTCAGTTATTCAATATCTGATTTGATTCTCACAAAAACCCTAATGACAAAATGGAGGCAAAAAGAGGAAAAGCCACTTGTCCAGTATTGGCCCAATTTCTTGGCCCAAAAGTTCATATGCTTATCCATTAGGCTGTATTGCATTAAAAGAGAATGGTAGTGTAGTGGGAGGATAAAGGATTTCTCAGGCAGATACACTTAGGTACAGAGGTAGAAAAGGGAGTGAGGTCTCTGGGAAACAGCAATTTGTTTAGTGTGGACCAAGAGCAGAGTACACAGCAGCAAAAGATAGGGCAAGGACCAGGTATAGAAAGGTGCCATGACCCAGTGAAGGAGCTTGCCTTAATTCTGAAGGTGTTTTAGAAGCACGAAGTGCTGTAGGGAGAGAAATTAATGGTGCAACTTGTGGATCGCAAAGGCCTGATGCTGGTTGTAGTGTGGAGAATATTGGAGAAAGCTAACATGAGCCACACAGCAATAAAGCCCTCAACTAAACCAGTGGCCAAGGGGCTGTAGAAGAAAGCACAGATCTGAGCTCTTTGGAGGGTAGAATTGTTAGGATTTTCCAACTAACTGGGTGTGGGCACTATCACTGATGGAGATTAAGGGTGGTTAGTGAAGGAGAACGACATTTCAAATGAATTCCAAGTTTATGGCTTGGGTGAACAAACAGGTAATGGGATCCTTTATCAAGCTAGGAAATTACAGATTGAATTGCCCTTCTGAGCTGTCAAGGTGTTTGTATATAGAGAAGTACCTCTAGGACACCTGAGTGGTTAAGAATGAGTGGTTACTGGGTTTCACACATAGTGGGTGTTCATTAAATATTTATTGAATAAAGGAATATATGGGTCCTTGAATTTATTTGGTATGCTTGACTTGGAGATACATAGGATTTGGAGGAAATTATCTCAAAAATGATCATTGAAGATGTAGGTATTGGTGCCCTCAGAGTGAAAGAGAAGGCTCAGCATGGAACTCTTTAAAAAC